AGACATTTGAAAGTAAATATATTTAATTTAATTAATTAAATATTTAACATTCTGTTCCCCTTCTCTTTTTGTGTACTAGTAGTATAGGCCACTGAATTTTTTTCTTTCATTTCTTTCTGTGAATACGGCCTAATCCCTACCGCTGAAATAAGACTAACTAGGCCTATGTATTATTTCACTCTGTGTAGACCCCATAAATTGATAATGTTCCAGGGATCCTAATTTTGGAAAGAAAATTACACAGGGACAACTTAATTTTTCTTACATTGGTTGTACGATAGTGTTGCTGTGTTTCTATGCTGTGTGATAAATGAAAGACAGGGCCTACTCTATGTCGAGGACGAACTATAACTGAAAGACGAACTATAGCTGAAATTATGCATGACGTTAACATACGAAGCGAAGCCTCTCGGCTGAATTGTTGTATTTAGCAACTACCCTAAACAATTTAGGGGAAATGGCTATTTGAGGGCGCTTTTCTTCACTATATTTACTAGAACTCCACAAAATAAATTGGCCAAAAAATGAAGAGTATTTCCAATATTTATTCAATACTAGACAATAAAATACAATGAATATTTATTTTTTCAATATTAAATACAATACAATGAATATATTTTTTAAGTACCAGAATCGTGCGTTTATCCATAAAGGCAATTCGTTTCTGGAATAAACCAGGAAAGCAAATAGATAGCTATGCAGACGGAGCAGGGATGAACACTGGTTTGCTGAGATTTTCACTGAAATAATATAATAAAAAGAATACATTATAAGTCCGTTGCAGAGGGAATAATGATTGAAGTAGAAAGAATAAGTTATTTGCAAGACCACTACAAAGAGAAAATAAAGCAAAACATCAATGAAAAGAATACAGCAATTAAGGAATACATTATATTTATAAGTCTGTTGCAGAGTGAATAATCATTCAAGTAGACATAATTGTTATGGGGAAAAAGAATAACTTGCAGTATTTTTAAATCCACTGCAGAGGGACAATAAAAGCAAAAAAAAAAAAATGTACAGTGCAGTAGTAGTATTGTCATTGGGGTGGTTTAAATTAATGTATTAATAATTATTTTTCAGGCATTTTATAATTAATTTAAATTGTAAAATTGAAATAGGTTACCAAATAAATAAATGATATCTAATACCTAATAAAATTGGTAAAATTTTAGAGATATAAATACAAATTTCCATTGGTAGAGAAAAATCGAAAAAATATTAATTTGTGTATGTATGTTATTGTACTGATAACATTAATATTACATCTGTATAAATTAATTATTCTTAATTCTTGTTACCTATTAATTACATCAGTCATTACCTAATTTATATTACACTAATATTTTATTGATTTCTTGAGTTATGAGTAATATAATTATTGTGATTTACATTTTTGATTTGACAAAGATGAAATAAATGATATGGTATACATGTTAAAAACATTAATTAGATTAATTTTGTAATGTCAATTGGATATAAATATCTAAATATATATGCATATAGATATATATTTATAGATTTATCACAAGAGTTTATCTCTATTATGATTTATATATACATATATACAATAATAATGCAATGAATAATATAAATTGAAACAGAAGAGGAATGGGACCCCAACCATGGTGAGGCTGAGGTTGGCAGACCTTCTATCTGAATTTGAAGTCACCATTATGACATAACGCTAATATCGCACGTGACTAGACTGCCAGTGATCCATAAGATATTTCCTCTTCTTGGCACTATTTTCAGCTTGCTGGATATTGAATGACATATAAAGATATAAAATCAGTGTACCACAGTAAGTTTGTGGAGTATTATTATAGCCAATAGATAAATGATAACTTTTTATTGTTGTTCCTATAATTATTTGTCTATAGCATTACAGATGATTGGTGATCCGCTTCATGAGCGGATCACCTCTTGTTATTATCAGAGATTCTTTCTTCTTTCTCCCCATTTTTGTTCCACGATATCTCAAAATTGGCACGAGCTACGTACATGCGTGCTTCAACAAACATTTAGCTTGGCCGGGAATAGTCACAATAAGCATTTTTACATACATAAGATTTTTTTTTATTTTCCAATGTAATAATAGTGTGTTTAAGGTGGTTTGTATTTATGCCTGCACAAAAGCAACTGAACGACCTTAAATTACCTATTTATGACCGTAATCTCATGACCATTTCACAAATGGTACTATACAATGGTATTTTGGACTATGTACAGTAAACATTAAATTCTTAACATTAGGCTTTACATGGTGGTTATCTATAAATTCAAGATGGCTGCTAAACGACCTTGACCTAATGAAATCTAATGATATTAAAATGGCTGACATAATGAATTTAATTATGTGAGCTTAAGCAAAAATTTTACATTTAAACATGACCGCTAAGGAATCATATTACACAGTACTAAACATAAAATGGCCTTGAATAACCTTAATTGACCTATTTATGACCCTAATAATGTCTATCTAAACATGTCACAAATAGTCTAATTCTTTGATGAGGAAAAATTAGGCATAAGAATTATAATTTCAAATGTTTTAAAAGCTGAAATGTTAAAAATTATACCAGTAGGTTATGCAGCAGCCATTTTGAAATCAATGGTGGCCACCAGAATGACCTTGAATGAAATACCGAAGTTTTTATTCAACAAAAACTGAATTCAAGTTACGTATTATTAAGATGTCATACAATATTTTACATATACAGTAATGACCTTGAATGACCTTAAATTTTATTTATTTTATTTTAATTTAATTGTTAATCTTTATACTGGGTGAACTCTTCAGTCAAAAAGACTGTTCCCCCAGAGTGCCTAGTATACAACACAAATAAAATGGAGAAATAAATCAGTCCTGACATCAAGTTAAAATTCCTAGTTCTAAAACCGAAAGGTCCACTGATTAATCTCAGATAAGTTAGTATAATACATACTCCAAGCAACGAAAAAAGTCAAAAATTATATAATAACCATTCTTAACCATAAAACATAATTTTTGACATCAGAACTATAATTGCAAGTGCTTTAGAAGTGGAGATATTGATAAATATATGTTTTACATGGGGCCATTTTAAAATCCAAGATGGCAGCTATTTGTATAAAAATATTAGCATTATTTAAAAAGTATAATATATGCATTGGTTGTTAAAAATTAAAAATATTCGTGCAGATCTATGAAATTGTTTAATTCATAAATGTGACATTATGATGACATTACAATCTGTTTTTGTTTTTACCTATTTTGTCAGCTATTTTGAAAAAAAAAAACCCAAAAAAAGCCACATTACCGCATATTTCCTCAACCTGGATATTTCTAGACTTTTAACATGTTCAAATAGGGACCTTATAAAAATGCACTGTGGTAAAGTAAATTCTGCTGCAATCTTTTCAGCCTTTCACTAAATTTTAAACTTTCTCGTACTACACACCTTTATAATTTTATATCGTTGAAGACAGTATCACAGGGATGACTACCTGTATCTCTATCAATAGGCTACATGCTACTTTTATTCATAAATTAAAAATTGTGTGTTTCTACCTTCTTGACATGCCATAGGTCTAGTGCATAAGATAACGTGACTGAAGTTAGGGTTCGGTTCTTTTTAATATAGCATGGGCTTTTTTTTTTGGAGAATACAGTACACTGTATACAATGTACAAGAATTTTAAAGCAACAGCATAAATTAAAAACACGCTTGGTTATACAGTACAAGGGCGTCGGAAGCGATCCGGCTGGTCCGGTTTTGGCCGGACCAATAATTTACAACTCAATATCGTTTGTAAGCCAAATTCGACTTTCTCTGACGCAATCGAACATAACCTACACCGTAACAGTTGGAGGGGGCCGGTTGGGACCTCCCTCGAACCTGCCACTTTTGATTGGTGAAACTAGGTTGAGATAGGCCCTTTTTAAAGAGTGCAGTCATCACACAGGTTAGGAATGCTATATCTAGAAAAAATAATGACCAAATCACAATTAGTTTTTAAAATAATATGAAACACAGTGTATTGCAAAAAATTATATAAAAATAAATTGTTTAAAATTTCTTATCAATTTCTTAATTATATGAAATGAGATGCTTATTCCTTAATGAATGAAAGTGCAAGAAACACGAACACATAATATAATGCAATATGAATAACAATGACTATAGGTCTATAATATTTATACAAGTTGATTGATGTTGTGAAATACCTAAAAAAGATTCAAGATTCAACACTTTATTTTACATTTTAAAATAGGAATTTGTTTTTCCTTTGCAACAGTCTTGGTTAAGAAAGATAGAATTACATTAAAAATCACACGACAAATCAACTTGGCAATGACGAGAAATACGTTAAGATATTAACAATTTAAAATTAGTAAAGTAGTAAAAAGTCAAAATAAAAATCACTGTTTAAAATTTACTATGTGTTTCTCAGAAACAGACCAGCCATTTTAGTAAAGATTAAAGTCAGGCTCCGGAGGAAAAAATTTTTTTGATATGTTGTAGAACTGATTTTTCTAAGACAGAAGAAAGTTGTGTGACGAAAAACTGGAGAACGGTGAATGAGATACAGATTTTTTAATATTTAAAAACTGGGGGAATAAGGTGTAAAAATGGGCAGTTACGCCCCTTTTTCCCCCAGTTTTTAAATATTAAAAAATCTGTATCTCATTCCCCGTTCCCCAGTTTTTCGTCAAACAACATTTTTATGTCTTAGAAAAATCAGTTCTACAACATATCAAAACATTTTTTTTCTCCGGAGCCTGACTTTAAAACTATAAAAACCCAACATTTTGCTATAAAATAATGGCAGCATGCTAATTAAAAATGTGTTTATGTATACATAGGATACAGTATGCATATTCCTCCATGAATAAATGAAAATGAAAGAACAAAATTATATTATCGTATATAATGCAATATGAATAACAATGAATGTGCGCCTATTATATTTATACGAGTTGTATATATATATATATGTCATCATTATTCTGGTGATCATTAAATCCACTCATTTAATCATGGTCGGATACGCTTCCCGTTTATCACCTTTCCCTGTATTAATTCTAGCCGGAATCGGGCTACTGTTGTGTATTTATCCACTAACAATATCAGGGACGCTGGAACAAAAAGATAGAGTTGCTAGAAGCACATCACCTGTGGAAGTCTGTCAGCCGCTTTCTTCTTCGGATAATCTGCGTTTAACAATTTATATCACTAACAGCACCATTGAAATCGATGAAGTAGGTTTTTTTCTTCTTTATAATGCCGACAGACATATATAAATTGAT